TTGGCAAAGGCCGTGGGAGCGCTCGAGGAGAAGCCGAGCCTTGCCGAAGAGTTGGCCAAACCCGAGCAGTTACACAAATCCCATGACGACCAATGAAATGCTTGCTGAAGTCGCACCTCCACCCGTGGACAGCGTTAACAGTGGCAAGATCGCGTGGTCGTCGCGCGGTATGTTGGCAGGCAATGTTGGGGGGCTCCCACTGTCGTGGGCGGCCTCCTTCAGATAGATGATGGGTCGGAACCGGGTTGTCTGCAGAAAATTTGGTTCTGGCAGATGCGTTGGCGGAGTTGCTTTAGCTGGGCCTCGATTGTGCAGCGTCGTCGGTTTTCGAGGTAGCAGTGGAGCAAGCTGACAAAGCAAAGGTTGACCACGCAACCGCGTTGGCCCATCGCAGGGCGACCGCATTCAGAACGGACGAGGACGGCGGCGCACCGCCCGCATATGAGAACGTCTCGAGCGAGGATCAGGGATCAGGTTCGAGCCCCCGCAGCTGGGGCGCAGGTTCGTCCATGGGCCGCCCCCGTTGGAGGCGGAACCGCGACGCAGGCTGCCGCCGCCGACTCCGGCCCAGTTGGTTCGCGCCCAGATTTTCGGAGCGGGGCGGGCGAGACTGCGCGGGCGAGGGCAGTCCAGGAATGGAATGGGGCAGCGTCAGCAACGAGTCGAGGGGCTAGGCGCGCCAGCGACTCTACGGGCGACCGCGGTGGCGCGGTGTTTCTCGCGCGGAGTTTATCTGGGCTTCGCCGTCTCTGGCGGCCTGCGCCCTTATCTGGGCGAGCGCAGTTGCCGCAAATTTCCCCGCGCGCAATCGCTCTCCCGGATCCGAATATTTCGAGGATCTCATCGCGCGGGAATCGCGTCGTTTTCGGGGGAAGGAGGGGGGGGGGGGGGGGCGCGGGTAGGAGGGGGGGCTTCAACTTGGGGCCGCCCACCTTCCACCTTGGCGCTTTCCCCGAGACGGCGAAGCGCGACCTCGTCGCGCGCCCCCTGGCCTGTCTGCTCCGCGACGCAGGGTGCGAGGATGGACATTTACGTTCTGGTCTTCCGTGGCATTAGAGAAGCCGCCACATTTGCGACGCCAAATGGGAGCTCGGAGCTCGCCCCCCGCCCCCCTGCGCTGCGCGTTTCTTCTTTTGTTCCCCTTTCTTTTGTTTGTTACTCATGCTATTTTCTCATGTTCGCCATTCTCCGAGCGATGCCCCCCCGCGGGCGCCGAAGGAGCGGCCTTGGTCGCGCGATGGGGCCACCTGTCCAATCTCCGTCATGCGCCCAGGTCTTCGCCGAGCTTGATGGAGCTCTGCAGCTGGCGCGAGCGGGAAACGGCCCGGCCGCCCGGATGGCGGCGACGCATGCCGCGTAGATTGGGCTGACTCAGCATGCATCAGAGGGCCCCTTGTCAAGAGCATGCGAGATAACATCATTGGCGCGGGCGCCGAAGAACGCGGGCATCCTGTGCTGCGTGCAATCTGGCGGTCGCATTCCAAACTCGACGTTTCCCTCGCGTCGCAAGTGGTGTTCTCGTTTCCCCTGGGCATCCCGCGCAGGGGCAGGGGCGGGCTCCCGCCCGCGCCATCATCGTCATCGCTGCCATCTTCAACTTCGCCATCATCATGACCCTTTTCTTCGCCATTCACGCATTCGCACTCATCGTCGCCATCTTCCCCATCGCCTCTCTGCCCCCCGCTCGCTCAGCCACTCGTCGCCGTCGTCGATGGCATCGCTCCCGCGCGCGTTCTTACTCGCGCGTAAACGCAGTCACGCATTCACACCACCTCGCAGTCATGCGCTCATATAGAGGAAGTCTCAGGGGGGGCCTCTCCCGCGAGAGAATCGCGGGTTCGGCGGGGGGGGGGGGGCCCTCCCCATGTGGCCCGCGCTGCACGTTGGCAGTCGGGGCTGGTCATCCGAATCCGGCACCTGCTGTCGCTCGCGGGCGCCTTCCCGTTTGAATTTTACAGAAGCCTCTGGCGGGGGCCCCCCCATGTGAGCGAATTGCCGGGGAATCTCAGGCGAGGCCCCCCCCCTTTGGAGCCCGCGCTTCGCGATGACCATCCGGGCGGGTCACCCTCGCATTTTAACTTGCAGCTGTCGTCGTTTTTTGGGCCCCGCCCACTTGAGATGCGAAGGAGCTTTGGGCGGGGGTCTCATCTGCGCCCCGCCCCATGGGGCCCGCATGTCACGTCAGTAAGCCGAGCGCGTCACCCAAGTCTTGCAGCTGTCGTCGCGTTTGCGCCCTTGCCGCCTGATGATTGGAGAAGCCTCAGGCGGGGGCCTCATATGTGCGTGAATCACGAAGGAGTTTCCAGCGGGGGCTCCCTCCGCGTGGGGCCCGCTTTTCGCGTTGGCAATCCGAGCGGGTCATCCAAGTCTTGCAGTTGTCGTCAGTCATGGGCTCTTCGCGCCTGCGTCTTGAAGAAACCTCGGGCGGGGCCCTCGTCGGCGAGTGGATTGCGCGGAAGTCCAAGGCTGGAGCCACCGTCGTTTCTTTCGGGTTTCAGTCAGACGACGAGCGGGAATGCGAAGAGCGCACGTTGGGCCAGCCTTTTCGCCCCCGCTACCTACCGCAGGGGATCTGGCTGCAGGTGCGCGGCTTCAAGGAGCCCTTGATCTACCAGGAGGTCGCCGAGGTGCTGCCGCAGGGCGCCGAAGGCGCTGTCGGCGGCGAGGCCGAAGCGCGGGCGAGGGGCAGGTTCAGGCCCAGCGAGCAGGAACTCACCCGGCAGTGCTGGGGGCCGCGCGTCGCGCGCAGCTCGGGGCTCACCCCGACGCGCGCGTCGCGCCTGACCTCCGTGCTGTCGCAGGGCCAGACGCGGCGCGTGGGCGCCGCCATCGACTGCGCCGGGGGTGAGGATGCTGGTTGCGCGGGCACGTCGGACGAGCAGCGGCGGCTGCGCCTCTACGTCATGCTCCCCCGCGCCGCGAGCATACGGAACATGCCGATCCTGCGGCGCGGCCGCGCGCGCGCGAGTTTCTGGGGCGCTGTCGGCCGGCTCCCCCGCGGAAGGCGCTCCGGAAATTCGACGTGATAGCGGGGGGGTCCAGAACCCAGGCGGAGCAGCTCGCAGCGCGGCTGGGCCTCGCGCTGCCCCCCGCCCGCGCGCGGCCGCGCCCGCCTCGAGGCCCGCGGGGTCGCCCCGCCAGCCTGGCCTGCGGGATGGCCCCGGCGGCGCGCCCATTCGCCCCAGCGGCCCGCGGTGTTTTCCGAAAGGCATGGCCCGCGGGATTGCCCCAAATGCCGCGCGATCTGGCCGTCGGCGAACGCGCGCGCGCTGGCCGAAGCGGCGACGGCGCCAAGAAACATCGATTTGCTGACCTCGACCAGGGGGAAGGGGGGCGAACGTGGAGAGGAGGCAGGAGGAGGAGGGGGGGGGGAAGTGCGGGGAGGGAGCGATGATGAGGGGGAGGCGGAAAAAGGAGGAGGAGGAGAAGGAGGAGGATGGGCAAGACCAGCGTGTGAAAGAAGAGGAAGAGGGGGCTAAGCAGAGGGCGAGACGAGGCTGTCCGCCAGGGCGAGGAGGAGAGGGCCATGGGCAATCTAGACACATTCCCATGCGGGGTCATACCGCCAAAGCTATTTATCCCGGCTCCCGGCCGCACGGCCCATTCGGGTCAGGACCACCAGAATTCCGAATGTCTTCCTTCATCCCCCCCCTGCGCCATTTGCCGCGGATACGAGCACTGGTCTGGAACCCGCAGGGCGCACGAGGGCTGCGCTAGCGGCCCGAGGGGCGCCCAGGCTGACTTCGGGTCGGAACGCCAAGGGCTCGATTTGAACGCAGACGAGTCTGGCCACTCAAGCAGGCAACCCGTTCAAGACATCTCTGCAATCTGGGCCACCTGGGGCGCGAGAGCCAGCGCCCGACACATCCTAGACATTCGCTCTGGAAACATGATATATGTTGCGTTAGTAAACGTGCGAGCCACTCGAAACGCCCCCGCGATCTGGACGCTAAGTGGGGAGTGGGATATTCCCTGGTGGCGCCCCCTTGTAGGCGCTGCAACAAACGCCTCGCCCGGGACATCTTCAAAATCAGCTCTTGAAGCAGACGGTTCTGGTCAACAATTACAAACGGTTTCAGACATCCTCGCAATCTGGGCACCCTGGGGTGCGACAGCCAGCGCCTCGCCCGAAACATCCGCGAAGTTTGTTCCGAAACAAAAATATGTGTTAGGTAAGTGGGCATGCGAACCGCCGGGGGCGCGCCCGCAATCTGGGCGCCAGCTGAAGAGTGAGGTGTTCCCTGGCGGCCCCCCTTTCGGAGGTGTTGGGAAAAACGCTTCGCCCGGGACATCTTCAACATATCTTTTTGAAGCAAACGGGTTTGGCCAGCAACGCGGGCAAACCGGTCGAGACATCTCCGCAATCTGGGCACCATGGGGTGCGACAGTCATCGCGTCGCCCGAGACATCCGCAACATTTGCCCCGACATCGACACATGTCGAACACGCGAACAAACAAACCGTTCGAGGCATCCCTCCAATGTTGGCGCGAACGGCGGAGTGAGATTCCCCGTGGCAGCCCCGCTTTGGACGAGCGAAAACCAACGCTTCGCCCGAGACATCCACATTTGCTCCGGAAGCGGAGGGCGTCGCGCACGCGAATGGGCGAACCGCTCGAGACATCCCCGCTCTGGGCGCAAACAGGGGGGTGATATACCCCCTGGAGGTGAAGAAATCAGCGCGTCGCCCGAGACCCCATGACCCGCTCTGTCATCATCATCATCATCCTCGGCATCATCATCAGCAGCATCATCATCACCACCGTCACCATCATCGCCATCATCATCGCCATCATCATCATCCGTAACCATTTGGGTTCAAGTATCCAAATCACCATGGATCTATAGGTTTGTCTCAGCCGACAGGGAGGCCCAGGGCCCCCGTGCCTGCCAGGCCCGACTTTCGCAGGCACGACCCCTGCGGGAACGCCCGCGCCGCAGGCCTTCATTCGAGCCGCCGCATGTTGCCCGCGGCCAGCGCCCCGATGGCGTCTATGGAACAGAAGATGGACACGCTGCTCGCCAACATGGGCGAGGCGCTTGCAAATATCAACAACCGTGAGAAATCCATGGGACAGGCCACCTCGGATTTGACAGCCCCAAAAGAAGACGTGAGCCAGAAGTTGAACCGCCACGACGAACAGTTCAAACAAATCAGGATCCAAATTGCAGCCATGAGGTCGATGCGATCAAGCGACGAATGCCTCGAGATGACCGACCGCCACCTTTGTCTCGGCTTGATCGAGGCGCAGCAGTCCGACATAACAGCCAAGATGGAGGAGTCCATCGCCGACCTGACGAAGACGGCGGCTTCCTTCTCGCCGACGCTTTCGGTCACCTCGAACCGAATTGTGGGATGGGGACCTACCAGACGCCTGACCAATTGAAGAGCTCAGGCGCTGATCGTCGTAAGCTGTGGGTTCGCGGCTTCCCGGTGGAGCTCATGGCGTCCGCCTTCGACAAGCACTTTGAGCGCGCGAAGAGCCTGTGTCCCCCGCAGATCGACTTTGTTGCCAATCCAGTTTGAGGACCCCGAGGACGCCAAGTACGCTCTCCTTTTTCATTCCCGTGCGAGGAAGTTCGAGCGGGGAGATGGCAGCGGCCCCCAGCACAGGCTGAATGTCGGGACCGACGAGCCCATCGGCGCGCGCAATAAAAGGATGGCTTCTCGGCCAGATCTGGGAGCACGCGCGTCACATCATGACCGAAGCCACGACATGGTCGGCGCAGACTCAGCTGCGATGCAACAAGTGTTCGGGCCTCTGCCCCATCATCAACGGTGACCTAGTCGACGAGCTGGTGGAGCTTAAGCCTGCGGCCCCTAGGGGGGGGTCCAAGCTGCGTGCCTTGAAAGGTCAGCTGACCTGTTCGAACAGGGGTAAGCTAGGAGAAGGGAGTGGAAGACGAGACGACAGCAGGAGTAGGACTAGCCTTGTTGGGTTGCCTGCGTGTTTTGCAAAAGAAAAGTAAGATGCGCTATGTAGGCTTGGCATGTTGTCGTGGAAGTGTCGTGGCTGCACAGATGCTTAAAGTGGAGTCACGTTCGAAGTCGGGGACCCCGAAGGTAAACGGGATCAGGTGAGTCCACCGTGCAGGTATCCGAAATAAGTGGGGTCACGCCCTGCATGGGGAACCCAAAGGCGTCTAGACACGATTGGGTTGGTGAAAAAAGGAGGGAAACCTGCATAACAGCGGCCCCCGAACGTGGACTAGCAGTTCTTGGGCTGCGACCCAGGGTTTCAGCGGTTAGCCCCAAACCGATTGGATAGTTGGGAGAGAGGGGCCACCAGGAATGTCAAGATGGCGGGAGGGGGCGATAACAGCATCAGTGGAGATATCGTCCGAGAAGGAGACCGGGAGCGTCGGCCACGGAACGTGCGTTGAAGTGTCTGGTCCTGGTTACGTACCAAAACAGATGGGAGAGGGGATATCAGTAGACGGTGTTCTGCGGTAGTTGACGTACGCCTCCTCCTCCTCCTCCTCGTCCTCCTCCTCCTCCTTGTCCTCGTCCTCCTTCTCCTCGTCCTCCTTCCCTCGTCCTCTTCCTCCTCGTCCTCCTCCCCCTCGTTCCCCTCCTCCCCCTCCTCCTCCTCCCCCTCCTCGTCCTCCTCCACTTCCTCCTCCCCCTCCCCCTCCTCGCCGCGCAGACTCCGACGGCGGAGCGCAAGGCACAGCCTGCCCAACGTTTCAGGCGTCCCGCGGGCCCCTTGTGCCAGCACTGGCCCGATTCCCGCCCGCTCCACATGCTCGGGGGCCCCCAAACGGTGTGGTAACCACGCCGTGCGGTGAGTCGGTGGGAATTCGGAGTCACCGCGCGGTTTTGGGACTCGGGTCGTTCTCCGAGGACGTTTCGGGCGACAGGGGCCTCTGGAGTCCCAAGACCGTGCGGTGACGGACCATGCAGTGAGGTCTTACGGGATTTCGAGGTCACCGCACGGTTTGTCACCGCACCGCTTCGAGACCCCAAAAAAGCAGACGAGTCCGACCACCAAACCAGGCAAACCGTTCGAGACATCCTCGCAATCTGGGTCCACCACGGTGCGAAAGTCGCCGCCTCGCCCGAGGCATCTTCGGAATCTGCTCCGGAAGCGGGGGATGGTGGGGCAGGATACAGGCAAACGCCCGAGACATGCACGCAAATTGGGCGCGAACGGAAGTGTGAGATACCCGGTGGCGGTTCCGCCTAGGGAGTGATGACGCCAGCGCCTCGCCCGAAACGTTCTTTGAATCTGCCATAACAGCAAGCGAATCTGACCACCAATACACGCAAATTGCTTGAGACACCATCGCAATCTGGACCCGTAGATGCGACATCCACCGCTTCGCCCGGGACATCCGTCAAATCTGCCCCGAAAGCGGAGGATGTTGGATCAGTAAACATGCAAACCGCCCGAGAAGTCCACGCAACCTGGGCGCGAACGGAAGAATGAACTACCTCTTCTGGCTGTCCCCCCTTGGGGGTGCGAAAACTACCGCCTCTCCCGAGACACACTCCGAATCAGTTGCGGAAACAGAGGATGTTGGGCCAGGGAACAGCATCATCATCATCATCATCATCATCATCATCATCATCATCATCATCATCATCATCATCATCATCATCATCATCATCATCATCATCGTCATCGTCATCGTCATCGTCATCACCATCATGTTCCCCATGCTCGCCCTCATCCTCATAATTGTCACCACCGTTCATCTCTAGCATCAGCATCCCCACTGGCCTCAGCAGCGCCATCATCACCATCATCATCATCATCATCATCATCATGATCGTATGTGTCGTCACCATCCATCTTTTGTCACCATCACCATCATCATATGATCATCATCGTTCCCATATACATCATCATCACCCACCGTTTGAATAATCTTCTTTATCCCATTCGTTGCCGCCATCATTCGAGCGGAGAAGGAGGAAGAGAAAGAGGTTTGTGTGTGTGTGTGTGTGTGTGTGTCATGAGTTGGCTCTGCCACGGAAATAAAAAGAACCTCGTCGTCAGGATATGGGGAACAATAACCCAATCTTTAGAATTTGGCGAAACGACTCAGTTTTTTCAAACACAAGGAAGTGCACGGTTCAAGACCTAGAGGGTCGATTCTGTCGTTGTTTCTGGTCGGAGTGTAACACGCCGAAGTCGTTCGAGGTAGGAAGGAAAGGATTAATTTCGACGAGGTCGTGCGCAAGACGCTGGTGGACGAGGCGAAGGACGAAGCTTCCCGGGAGCTCGGGACACACTGTGAAGGCAAACGCTGGTGCAGATTATTTGTGGGGGGTCGTGAGGTGCAAGGATGCCAGGATCGGAGTGTACAAGAACAGACACATAGATTTGGCGGCGGGGTATGGGGCGTTGATGGAGCAGGGCATGGTTGCCGCAGAAGGGGCCGGTGGAGGTGGAGGATGAGAGGGGCGCGGTGACAAAAGGAGGTAGAGGAAGAGGCCAAGGA